GGAGCAGGAAGGCTGACGTTTCGGGCCTAGACCCTTCTTCAGACAAAGGCTGATGTTTCGGGCCTAGACCCTTCTTCAGCCCGAAACGTCAGCCTTTCTGCTCCTCTGATGCTGCTTGGCCTGCTGTGTTCATCCAGCTCTGCACCTTGTTGCCAGGAAAGGCAATCTGGTTCACTAATATCCTTTAGGGAAACAAATCTGCTCTCCTTAATGGTCTGGCCTACACATGCCTCCAGAGCAACATGGTTGACTTTCAACTGCCCTCTAGGCAATTAGGCATAGGCAATAAATATTGACCTGGCCAGCAATATCCAAATCCTGTAAATGAATTGAAAAACATTCTTCTGTGCGTTATGTTATCCTTTTGAGATGTGAACTTTCACTTGGAGCTAGCACTTCTACATTTTCTTTGCAATTTCATCCCCCACAAAACACCACAAACCCTCAACCTCAGGTCAACATATCAATTCTGAAAAGGGTCACTGAACTCAAAATGCTATTTTCTCTCCACAGATGCTGCCAGACCTGCTGAGTTTTTCCAGCAATTTCTGTTTTTGTGTTTCAGATCCAGACTTTTTGTGCTTCTGAGATTTCTGACACTGTAATAGATACAGCACCATACAATTAAAATGTTTCATTCATATTTTAATATGTGCTGACTTTGTAGTGTACATCCTTGGCTTTAAAATCAGTCAGCAACATGTTGTTTGTTACAGAATGGGGTACAGACAATAGTCTGTTTTACACCAATTTAGAAAAACTTCATTCCCATCAAGCTTTGAAGCTACTACTTGAAGGTGCAACGACAACGTCTGAGGTGGTTTACAAAGAAAATGACCCAAGGTAATATTGGATACAACAAAGAATTGTCAATCAGATTACTGTTATGGACACGATCCTTTCATCAGCCTTATTCGGTCTATTTATTGTGTGTTTTCCATCTATACAAAATTTCCAGTATTTGCACATCTTTTCACATAATGCAGCCTATTTGAACAAGCTGGTAACTATTATCTATTAGAATTTTGTTCCTTATTTCCTAAAACAATTTCTGTACTGTTGTGTGTGATTCACTAGAACAATTCAAGCTAGACAGAGGTTAATTAAAACAGTGAATATTTTATTGTGAGTACTCACAGCTCCACAGTTGGTTTTAGACTGTCCCTCTAGCTCCCACTTCTGGGTCACCTGACCCACTCTCCTAAAGGGGCAACACACACACAACCATATACATAACACCCCTCCTCTCTTTATTTTAATACTCCCCTCTAACAATCTATATAAAAATTTTAACTGTTATATAGGCACTTTGGCTAACATATGTACGTGGTTAAGATGTTTTCCAAAAAAAATGGAAAAAGAAAACCATGCTGACTCCAAAACCTACCGCTTCCCCAGTAAAACTGGATAAAACCACCATCTTCACCTTCTGTAGTTTACATTGATACAATCAGTCTCGGGTGGGGGCCGTTGGTGGTGATTCCTAGAAGACTGTCTCCTCGTCTCAGGAACCTTTTCTAGTGTAGTCTCCCAGATTTCTGGAAGCTCCTGTTTTTCCACAGCTACATCCCTCTCTGGCTGTTGTTACCCTGTAACGCTGCTGTTGTCTCCTCCCTGGCTATGGAAAACCCTGGCTCGGAGGCATATGACTCGGTTGAGATCATTGGTCCCATCTAGACTGGCCTGGTATTCTGAGAGACTTCCCCCATTGGTGAGGTGCGGCAACCAGCTGGTTCACTTGTGTCCTCCAGACCAGCTCATCCATAGTCTGCATCGTATATAACAACTTCAGGTCAAAGTGAGTCAACGCTTCACCTTCCAGTAAACCACCTCGTGTCCCTGGGTCCATTTCTATGGTCGTCCTTTTCCCAACAACCGATACAGGGTTTTAGCACAGTTGCCAAATCAAACACAAACTTGTCATGGTAATGTACAGGTCCCAAGAACAATTGCAGTTGAGACACATTCTATCGTCTAGGGGTCTTCACGATAGCCTCCGTCTTCTTGACTGCTTTGTGTAGTCAATCATCATCAATTACATGGTTCTATAGAATCTTTCAAAAAACTCGTATTTCTCCCTTTTTACTTTGTAGGCCTGACCCTGCAAAACTTTTAGGGTTTCTTCTAGGTTTTGCAAATGCTCAACTTCAGAAGTTCCAACACCCAAAATCTCACTCAGGTTTAACACTGGACACCTGGCGATCCACTCAAAATTTGGTCCCTGGTCCTCTGGAATAGAGCTGGTGCTGATGTGGTAACAAAAGGTAGCCGCTTGAAGCAGAAAGTTCCCTGTGTGTCACTATCATCAATAACGGCTGGGACTCATTTGCATACCCATCTAAAAGTAAGTCTGTGATAGATCAGTATTTGAGAATTTCTTTCCCCCAGCCAGTCCACTAAACAGACCTCCATGCATGGAAGTGGAATCTGTTTTTAAGACTGGGACGATTGGACTGGTCCAGTAACCAGTGGTTACTGATTCCAACACCCCTACTTCAGGCCAGATAGTGTACAGTACTGAATGTGCTTTCAGACTCCTTGGATGAGCCTCTTGCTTCAACCAAAGTTTAATTTCTACTCCGTTTATTTCCCCCAGGGTTCTCGTGAAGACATCTACACCTATCCAAAGTCTCTTGCAACTCGTTTTTGAGTCCACCAGCCTATTTACCACACGTCAATATAACTTTAATTTCCATAACCAAGAGCGTTCGAATAATGCAGGGTAGTTACCTTTTACAAGGCACACGGGCAGTTCAGCACACTGATCCCTTAGCTGTACTTTTACCAGTACGTGGCCCTTCAGAGGCACCACTTGTTCCGTGTTTGTCCGTAGAGTAATCTTGGCAGGCTTCAATGGCAGTGCCTTTAACTTTTCCCTATATATTGATTTGGGAATTAGAGACACCGCTGCACCCATATCCACTTCCATCTTTACTGTCTTCCCCTCTAATTTGAGAAGAACCTAGAAATGATCAACTTTGATGCAAAATACCTCGCCAATACTTTGCATAGTTCTTGATATGTCTTCTCCGTGAATTTCTCTGGTTGCACCAGACTCCTTAGAATCGTGACAATCTTGCTCCCGACTGAACTCAAGAAAACTGGTGCCATTGTCTTCAGCCACTTATTTGCCTTTACATCGGCATCAAAATGTTACCGTGTACAGCATCAAACGTTCTGTCTTTTCATCAAACAGTCCCATCAACTCCAAATTGGCCCGCCATTCTGTTTTCCCGCCAGTGGAAAATTTTCTCACCTCAAGTCTAGTTGCTGTTCGCAGCCCAAGTCCCCTCGATGAACACTGTCTGCGTTGGCCACTCCCTCACAGAATGTTAGTACATTCCCCTTGCGAACACTCTCCACAATGAATTTGGCAACCTCCAAGTGAGTACTCTCGCCTTCGCCCATCAGCTGCAGGCTGAGTCCCGTCATGACTGCCATTCTCCAGAGTGTGCTTGATGTTGACCACAGCATGAGTCCCCTCACAAACACTTCCCTAATGTTACCTCCACAATCCTGCACCTTTTTCTCAGTCCGAACGGCGTCCTTCCTCCTGACTTTTTTAAAAAAAAAAAATGTTCGCACACAGTTTATGGCCCAAATCTAATCCTCATCACCGTTGTTCTGTTTGTGGTTCACTAGAACCATAAATAGAATGCAAGATAGACGAAGGGTAAACTAGAATGGGGATTTCTTTATTATTGCATCTTCTGAGCTCCACAGTCAGTTTTAGTGCCTGTCTCCAGGTCACCTGACCCATTGCCTTGAAGGGACAATAGACACCCAACGATATGCATAACGTCCAATTTCAGCAAAATCACCAGCAAATTGTTTTAAGAGTTCCTTCTGCTTTTTCTGTTGATATATCCAGGTTTTTTGTAGAATTGGCCAGCACCAAGGATGGAAGGTTTATTACTATCAACAGTAACAGCAAGAATAGCTCAGAGGTCTGGTTATTTGATCGTATGTATGCACAAGTTAACCCCAGGATTGTGCAAGAACGGGTCCCTGGAGTAATTTATCATGTGGAACACTGGAGAAATCAGCTATATATTTTGACCAATTGTGGTGCAACAGAAGAATACAGAGTAAGTTTTAAAGAAATGTGAGTTAAGATCACTAACAATCAACATATGACTTATGATTAAAGGGTGTCTGCTGCCAGTCAACATTGGTCTTCTCATGTCTGGACTGAATGAACTCTGTTCCCACTTTCAACAATTGTATTTTAAAACCCAAGAGAATATTTCATTGAGTTGACAGCATTTCCTCTGTGTTGGGTCTTTGAAAAGAAAGAAGTTCACCTTGAAATTATTAGATTGTAACTACCGATGAATTAAACAAGACAACTGAAAATAAATGATGTAAGCAAATTCTTTATTACACAGGGAGGGATGCCTTTTCATAGCACTAATCCAATTTTGATGAATTTGGCGTTTAAAATTAGAGCTCTGGTGTTCAAGAGTAAATGGCCTGTTAGCATTACATAGAACAGTTAGCGCTTTTAAAAAATGCCAGAGATATCCTTCTGTTGAAGTATGTAAGAAAAATGATTTTTTTAAAGAAACCCCTTCAGACATATCTCCAGGAGTGGGAGGAATTGCTTCTGGTCCGGAGGTGGGACTACCACCACTAGAGGTAAACATTTGCCTTGAAACGTCTCCCTGGCCGTTACAGGGATTGATCCTGTTACTTCAGTGTTATTTGCACCATTCTTAGCTAACCATTCTTAGTCAATTTAGTGTGGAGAACATGGGTCTGTTGAACTATATGTTAGAATATGAACCTTATACCTATTTTAAATTCACAACTTTTCACGACAGGACATTCAGATATAAATTTGGAGCTGTCCAGATGTAATGCTCCAATATTTGTATTAGTGACAAATTAGTAAACTTAAAAAGGCTTCATAACTGAGCTACAAAGCAATGGTTTTATCCACCAGGTGAGAGAGATGTTCAATATAATGTATTGACCATTTGGAGTGCCAATGCAGATACAGTGGGTGGATTAGCCTCCTACTGTGCCGTAATAATGCGACGATTCTGTGAAATAAACATTGGAAGTAGCTTTTTGAGTAAGATTTTGGTCAAATCGCTGGGATTCAAGGCATATTTTGATTGCCGTGTTGAGACTACAGTTTTTCTGGATGACAAGTTAATGGTCCCTCATCTGCAACTAGTGATCAGTAGGATTATTTGTAACCTTAAACTACCTGTCCTCCCAAGCAAGCATGAGTTTGAAAGGATGACCTTTTCCAAAAAAAATCAAAAAAGCTGTTGGCGTAAAATAATTAAGGACAAATGTAGCAATGATTTTTGTCTACTGACTATTGAATTACTTCTGACAGTGATCAGGATTGTGATTCATACAAATAAAAAGGCAAAGAACAGGTATTTCCATGATGTATTTGGGTTATTTATTCTGTTGTTTATGAAAGATATCATTTGGTTCAGTGGTAATTCACTGAGTTAGAAGTTTCTAGGTTTAAACCAGAATCCAGAAATTGATCATAGAATCCAGGGTGACATTTAATCACAGTATTGGGGAAGTGCTGTAATGTTGGACATGCTGGGTGGAATGATACTGGGTATGCACTTAATGGGGTTGGAGGATGGTGGATGGAAACCGTTATTTTCCTGCTTCCACCCTGATGATTTCTGAAGGCCTGAGTATGACCTTCCTGCCCCTGCCACCAGTTGAGGCACTTAAATGTCCTGTTCAGAGCCTCATCCTGTTACAGCTCAGTGGAATGCAGGGGGTTTGCCATGCAGGGAGCATGATGAGCAAAGCCTAGCATGTTTGTAGATTCATGGATGGATGTGTTCCTTGTTCAAAGGTACTCGGGTACTGATCAGTAGCCTCACCTTTGCCAGGGTCCTTCTTCAATCGAAGATCTCAGATGGATGTGGTACCTGAAGTAACTACCATCTGTTCAGTGACACCAGCCCATTGATTTGTTTTTACTCATACCAGGTGGAACCTGAATCTGGGCATTCTGGCCAGCATCTGATATGCTGGGTAGATCTTGATAGACAGGATCTCCACCACTGTGGTACTTCTTCCCACAGGAAGGTCTGCCCTGGCCTGTTAAGTACCTGAGTGAGACAAGATGTGACTGACCTTCTCAAAATGAGGCAAAGCAGGGATCTTGCTTGCTCCCCAGCCAGGGGCCAAGACTGCCATCACTTCCATATGATTCTGCCTATTGCCTTTGGATTAAATGTTTACACAATGTCCTTTCTGATTAGGTAGACACAAAAAGCCATTGAAATATCTCAGTGAGTCCACATGAGCATCATCTGTACACCGAAACTCAATGACAGGTTTTAGTGGTTTTGGTTTTGGACTGAAGAAGTGTGTTGAACAGTTCCCCATTTATTCTATCGATTATCTTTGTCTGTGGGCAATTTGCTGAAGGTGAGGGGCAGTATTCTACTAAGGAAAAGGAAGAGATTTGATGCAGTGACCCAATCTTGTTTGACATTTAAATTTTAGCAGTCTCTGCAGCATGTGGTGGAGTAGAATGATTTTGGCTTTGATCCCCACATCCAAATCTGCTCCTTTTGAGGGTTTTACCTGGTTCCACAACACTTGCCTCACTGTTTAAAATCCTGCTACCTTCTCTCTGTTTATTGCCTTGCAGTTTCTCATTGGGCGCCCTCCCTGTTTTCTTCTCTCTTTCAACCTTCCCTACAAACAGGGTGAGTCACCCTGAGTAACTTGCATGTAGACACCTGCACCCTTTTACAGAATAGAGCTGTAATTGGCAAAAGTGCTCATATGAACCATCTGACTGCTCAGTTGAGTAGATTAGTTCAGCTGAAGATTGTTTTCATCCGGTAATGCCAAAGGAAACTAGGGGAGTAAAGTAAACTCCTATCTGGGGAAAGAAAATGACAAACAAGATAAATCTTTAAAGAAAACAAATTTCTTCTAAAGTACTTCTTCGGTTTCTAAAAAATTTAAGATTATTTTTTGTGCTCCTGTCAAAGACCTTAAGAGTTTTAGCCCATAAAGAGTATGTTAGTTCTCTGTAAAGCAATTCAACCAGTCCAATTCCCCCATCACTGACTTTGTGAAAATATCAGGTCTTTGAACATTTACAGCACATAATTTCATGACCAATGGCTTAAATGATGAAAAAGCATGTACAATCTGCACCTAAATTCCCAAATTGTACCTTCTGTTCCAACACTAGTGGATATTGTTATGAAGATGCTTTATACTTTGTATCACTTGGAGGACTTCAGTTCTCAAGGATTGTGGAAAAAGGTTTATATCTCAAAATTTGAGAACATACCTGGAGTACTTCTTTGAAAGAGGCCATTGAGAGTGTTTTTTAAAGGCACTCTTCTGGTGTAGGCCTCCTAGCTCAGAGGTGGGGGCAATACCACTGTGCCTCAAGACCCCTCAATTTTTTTCTTGTTTTTTTGGTGGTTTGGCATCACTGACTAACATCTGTATTCCTGTGGACATTGAAAGTTACTTGTGGATATCGGAGCTTTTTGTTAAAAAGGCTTTGCAGAAAACATTAAACTCCTGATAACTGCTTGCTATGCTGCACACCCTGCTGGCACTTCTTTGAACAGTGACCAGCTTGGTGAGGTTTCTGTTTTTTCTGGTTCCATTAGAGAGAAGCCTACTTTGAACAAGCTAAGATAGAGGGAACTTGCTGTGACCACTTTGCTCAGCTGATCCATCCTTGACACCTTTTCATGTTGAAACCTATTTGCTCCACTGAAAGAGTGATCGAAAGATCATCTCAAGCTTGTAACTCCTGAACGAGCTATGTCTGCAAGACTTCGGAGACAACTGAGGATAATTAGTGACTTGACCGCACATTCCAGAACATCAGAGCAATGTACTCAAGAACATCCTGTGATTTATCCTTTATGCTTTAAAGAATTATCTGTTAGCCAAAATGATGTTTTATTTTCAGAAAGCAAAGTTCTGCAGATAAGTCTTTCTTTTATCTTTTCCTGTAGAGAGAGAGTGTGTGTGTGTGTGTGTGTGTGTTTGCATAAGTATCTTGGGGATTTTGAAATAGTTTTTATGCTTTGTGCGTGATAACCAAATATTGCATTTTAACAAATAAGGTTTTGACAAACCCATAATTGTGTTTATTAAGGAACCTGATTGGTAAATCTTTTTGTTTAAAACCTGATATTGATAAGGTGTTGATCTTCTTAGTACCTGGAGAGATTATTTTTATTTTATGTTGCAACCCTTGGAATAATGGGACTAAAATGATGGTGCAGTGCTCCAGCTTTAACTGTAACAATAGAAACAGTTAAACTGTTGAGACAGCTGTTGCAAAGCTCTAAATTCTTTGGACTTTTTCTTTAGCTGATGAAGACGCCGATTTCTTCCCCTGGAATGAAGAGCTGGCAGACTGTTTATGCAGTAAAAGAGGGAACTAAATTAATTGATATGGAGCTGTTCATGGATCACTGCATTATGATATTGAAGTATTCCGATCACTTGTATCTACATGTGTTTTCCCTTGATGAGCCAAAAACTGTTAAGTGCATCCAGGTACGTGGGGAATTCCTGGAATTTTTGACCCATTATGTTATCGTGCTACACTTAAGCTTCAGTCGTGAGAACTTGCTAGTGAACTGTAAGGACTTCAATGTGGCTGTCAAGTTTGAAATAAATATGTAGTTGTAACAAACCCTGAAGCATGGTGGTGTTTGTCAGCACTTTGTTCTTAAATCACTTATTTTAGTTTTTACAGCTTCCTCTCCTCACTAAGCAGGATTCTCAGGGGTGAAATCCATGTTTAAATAACTGATAGTTACTGACCAGATGGGATCATTTGTCTCAAAGCTGATATTTCTGCAGATTTGTCAAGGAGTCATGCTAACACAGGAAAACAGGCATTCTCCTTCTTGTTAAGAGCATTTTTCAGTCTCTTTGCACAAAACACCATGCGTGGCAACTGCTACAAAATGTGGGAATGACAAAGAAGTGTTGCAATATAGTCAATGCCAATGTTGTGAAGCGATACATTTGTCTGGAAAATAATAACAGCCAGTATTACAGTTTGGAAGTATTGGAAAAGGCAAAAGAATTTGGATGTGCAGGTTCCTTGGGAGAGTTGGCATTGTAAATTGATGAGACCAGAACAAAAGCTGATGAAGTTTCCAGTTTATCCCTAGAGGAATAAAATAAAAATCATGGGGTAGTGACGGCACTGAGTAAAAATGTAATACAATGGTAGGGTATTATTTGTCATATTGGCTTCTGCAATAAAGAATTTTGAGTCTTTGAGGATAATAGTGCAGATTCACTAGGATTTTGTCTAGAAGGAGCAAATATAAATAACAAAAGATTTGAAAAATTAGAGCTGTTTTCATTAGTTCAATGCTGATGATGTCAATGTGATAGAAAGTTTCTAAATTCAAAAAATGAATCATTGAACAGAACAGATAAAAATAGATGCTGTCAGTTGTTAAAGTTATTAAAGGAGTGGTATGTTGTGTGGCCGAGCGGTCTAAAGAGCTGGATTTAGGTTGCTGTCTCTGAGGAGGCGTGGGTTCAAATCCCACTGCTGTCAGCTGTTGTATGGGGCAGCACGGTGGCTCAGTGGTTAGCACTGCTGCCTCACAGGGTTAGGGACCCGGGTTCAATTCCACCCTCTGGCGACTGTCTGTGTGGAGTTTGCACATTCTCCCCGTGTCTGCGTGCGTTTCCTCTGCGTGCTCCGGTTTCTTCCCACAGTCCAAAGATGTGCATGCGAGGTGGATTGGCTATGCTAAATTGCCCGTAGTGTTCAGGGATGTGTAGATTAGGTGGGTTATAGCAGGGTGGGTCTGGGTGGGATGTTTTGAGGTTTGGTGTGGACTTGTTGGGCCAAAGAGCCTGTTTCCACACTGTAGGGATTCTATCATCTATGATCCAAAACCAGCAGCCATATGTTTAAGATTAAACTCAAGCAATTTCGAAATGAGACCAAGAGTATTTTAGAGTTTTTGTGAGGGTGGGTGTTTAGAGTTTAGATGGGTGAAGGACAAGCAGCTAAAAGAATAAAATAATCTGATAAATGTAATTAGGAATATTTGTTCAAGTAGTTGGTAAGTGAGAATATAGACTTGGCTGAAGTTTTTTAGTTATTTTTGGGTGACTTAGCGTTATAACTGATGTTTTCAGTAAATGTTTCAATTTCTTTGACAATTATAGGTTATATCCATGATAGTTAAAATCTAATTTTATTTCTGAAGTTTATTTTTCTCTGCGTTAGAATCATAGAATCCCTACAGTTCAGATAGAGGCAAGTTATTTCTCTTAAAGGAAAATACAGGATATACCCCTATTCCTTTCAATTTCTGAGCTAATGGCATTTGGTTGTCACAAGTATTTTGCCTCATTGCTGATGCTGGAAACATGTTGGAATCTATCTAGCAATATCTGCTAAGGAATATCTAAACCTATATTGCAACTTTGAACCAGACGACTTTTGTAACATGGATTGCGTGACTTGATCTGATGTTATTTAACACCAAATGGAAAAAATATTGATTAATTGCAGTCACATTACTGTCAGAACCTACTGATACAAAGGAGTCAAATTATTTTGTTACTTGTTGCAAAACATAATGTTAAGACCTATTTTGGGAGGAATAGTTGCATTTAAACAATTCCTTTTATTTCATTAGCTCCCATCTTGGGCCTGTGTCATTGAGTCTGAGGATAATCTAAAGTACGAGACAAACAAATTTTCCTTTCGACTGTCCTCTCCAGTGCAGCCACCAGTGAGTTTTCTGTACTCAATAGAAGGTGATGAGCTCTATATTCAAGAAGATGGATCTGAAACAACAAATACAATGGACTATAAAGTGACTTGTTTGAAAGCACCAAGCATGGTAAGATGTGATGTAATAGTTATTTGTTGGACTTAACTGTCAATTTGAAAATTTAGAATTCAGGCTTTCCTTGAAGTTGAAAATTAGTTCTTGCGGTCTCCATGTTCAGGTCCATTCACCAACAGTCTATATGAGCAGCAAATGCCTCCACTTTTCATCCACAGAAGTTGGCATAAGCAGAACACCAGCCTCACCACATGATTATGATTGATCTTGGACTAACTCCGAACACAATTCAGCACTTCACTCTGCACTTTAGTGCTCATTGACCTTACATTACATGGTCCTGATTGGTTACTCTGCGTGCAGAGACATACAGCCATCACATGCATCTGTACAGGATTATGATGCCGCTGAATTTCTTAACAGGAAAGATGTGTATTTGATTAATGACCAACTAATCAGTGATCATAGACATCTCATCTCGGAGGTCATTGGCATGTATCCTGAGAGCTGACAAGATGCCTGTAATCTTTTTAACTCTTAACTGCCTCACCCATTTCAAGGGCTGAATGTCACATGGAGTTGACTGCTGGGAATTGAGGACTACTCTTTTTCCTAGCATGGCTGATGACTCCTTTACAGAACCCACTGACTGAGGCAGAACACAGATACAATGTGGCCTACTTTTCTACGGGGCCATTGTAGAATAGATGTTTTGGTCTCTTCGTGATGAAGCTCAGATGCATAGATTTCTTTGGTTGGGCCTTGCAGTACACTCTAGACCAAGTGGACTGCAATATTCTGGCATGCTGTCTCCTGCACAACTGGAGCAGACAGAGAGATGGTGTTATGTCCACTAGGGAGCTGGTTTCTTTTTTCCACTAGGAGGACAATGACCGGGGAGATATCACTTTCAACGTGAGTAGGCATTGTTCTAGTGGTATTATTGCTTGACTATTAATCCAGAGACCCTGGTAATATTCTGGGGACCTGCATACAAATTCCACCATGGCAGGTGGTAGAATTTGAATTCAAAAATAATCTGGAGTTAAGAGTTTATTGATGACTATGAAACCATTATCAAATGTTGGAAAAATCCATCTTGCTCGCCAATGTCGTTTAGGGAAGGGGGCCATCCTTACCTGGTCTGGCCTTCATGTAACTCCAGACCACAACAATGTGGTTGACTCTTAACTGCCCTTGGGCAATTAGAATAGTCAATAAATGTTGGCCCAGCCAGTGACACCTACATCCCATGCATCATTTTTTAAAAAAAAAAGGTAGTGATGCAGCATCAAGCACAACAAGCAGACAGAACTTAATTGATACCCTCTTCCAAGACATGAGTTCAGTAAAGTCATAATTCAGTTTAGATTTATTTTGATTGTTGTAAAAGCAAGCATCCCTCCCTGGTGTCAAAAGCAAACGCTGCTTTTTGCTTGGTGATTATTCATCATTCCTGTTGTGCAATTAAAAGTTACCATTAACAACTGGATGAAAGCTTTGTAACGTCTGCTGCTCCTTCATTCAAGAATGAGACTGTTGTGTGTTATAGTAGGCAATAGGAAAAGGGTAACAGGGTTATGACATCATATGACACAAAAGAAATTTAGCTTCTGAGACTTCATTCGTGATCATATGTCCAACGGCTGAATAGTGAGTTTTCATAGGATCATTATCAGTTTGAGAGGCATCGTGAGGTAGATCCTGTTGACAATCCTCAATGATTGTTCATCCTTTCACATCTGCAATTGCGAATGAGCTGCCTAAGTACATTTCACTCCAACATCTAAAGTGACAGAGGCTTCACTTGCAGCATCTTTTCCCACCAGAACAATATTCCATGAAGCAGATTTTGGTTGTTAGTGCAGCATTGGGGATTGCCTGTCCTTGAATGAACATGCACTCCCTTGTAGGACTCATAGGCAGAATGAACCTTTGCCTCCAGAGAATAATGTACTTGTAAGAGATTGTATAGCCACACACAAAGTGGCCATATGTTTGAATATGAGTGGAAGCAAGAACTTATCACAAGGCATTCACATTACCTATTAAGTTTTGTTTGTAGTCATGAACATAAGTGTTGAAGAATGCCTAACGTTTGCTGCTTTCCACAATGCTTCTTTGATATGAACAATGCCTCGCCAATATAACACCTGACCTCCTTAGGATTAAAATGATGTGGAGGTGCCAGTGTTGGACTGGGGTGGACAAAGTAAGAAGTCACACAACGCCAGGTTATAGTCCAACAGGTTTATTTGAAATCACAAGCTTTCAAAGCGTAGCCCCTTTGTCAGGTGAAGTCACCCACCTGGCCCCCTGCCATTGCTTCCACCCCACTAACCCTTCTCTCTCCATTAAAAGCAAAATTGGAAGCTCTGCTTGGCATTGGATCACTTGCGAGTAGACCTCAATTGACAGTCTTCAGGATCCAAAGGCTCTGACTGGCTGGTAACTTCTGAGTAGTCACTGTCAAGGCCAGCAGGAGGCTGAGATACATGCCAAGGTTCACCAGTCCAATCTTCATACGCTGATTGGTGCATGTTCAGTTGCGTTTTCTTTTCAGTGGGGGTGGTGAGATACTCAACATTTAGCATATGTCTCATAGTCTTAAAAAGGGAAAGCTGTGAGCAAGATCAGATTCCAAGCAGACATTGGTGATAGCCGGCTCTATCACTCTTAACATCTCTCTCAATCCTTCCATTGTTCCTGCACAGACCAGACATTCTAAGAAGTTATTTGTTACATGGGTGGGATTGGGACGGTTTCCTACAATTGATTTCAGATGTACTGTTTGTTTAATGAGATACAAAACACAAAACAAAGTAATTGAAACAGTGGGAATTTTATAAACATAGCTCAGAATTTTCCTTTCTGAGAAATAACTCAAAGTACAGCAAATATTTTGTTAACCAGTACCTATGGGACCAGGAACGTGCCAGTTGATCAACAAGTCCACATAATCAATATAAAAGTACGCAAAGTGATGGAAATGTACACCCTTCATAGTTAACAAGGTGCAGGGCTGGATGAACACAGCAGGCCAAGCAGCATCATAGGAGCAGAGAGGCTGACGTTTCGGGCCTAGACCCTTCATAGTTATACTTTATTTACAGCGTATATTTTCAGCATAAATCGCTGGAATAATAATGCAACTTAGCCTTAAATAAAACTTGCCACCACCTCAAATTACTACTCAGACATCATGGAGATCATTATGATACAGTAAACTTCCAGTATTCGAGGTGTATAATTTATGCCAGTTTAGTGAAAGTGCCAGTTCACAATGTGCCGATTGAAACAAAGTTTGCTGTGTTCCAACTTACAGTGACAGTTCCTTATTCTCATTGAAATGTTAGCATTTCCTCCAGATTACTCCAGTTGAATGTTGCATTAGAAATTGAACCATCCTGATATTACATTGTTAATGAGATAAACTGGGGAAACTTCTTGCAGACTTTCAAAGTAGCTGTGGCTAAAATGGCAGCCATTGTCCTTTGCTAAATTTCTGAATTAAAAACTTGAAAACAAGAAGCATGTGGCATGATGCACGGTTGACAGGTCTGGGCAGTGGGAAGGATATGGTAGTTTTCTTCAATTGTGCACAGCTACAGCAACAAGAAATACTCAGAGGCGACTTTATATGTTATCTGTTAATGATGTTTAGTCTTGTGCTAAGTTGTCCTGCTGGAAAACTCTCAGGCTTTTGGGCATCCTCATGAATTTTTATTCTGTTATCAGGATCCAATTTGTATTACTTTTCTTTCAAAAAAAACCTCACTAACATTAGTCAGATGTCTTTGCTATCTGCTCAGCGGAGCAGGTTAAAACATATTTTGTTCACTCACAGGATGTGGGCACTGTCGGCTGGGCCACCATTTATTGCCCATCCTGTGTTGCCCTTGAAAACGTGGCAGTGACCTGCTTTCTTGAACCACCACATCTATGTGCTGTAGGTGCATTATGCAGAATCAAAGAGTTGTGTTGAAGATAAAATAATTAATTTGTATTTGAGTTTGAGAAAATTCCAAAGTATTGACATTGTCATAGAGATGGGATTTAGGGGCCGGTAGGTTGTGTTGATTCAGTTATTTTGATGTTTTCTCATAGAAGGTAAGCTGCCGTTTTCGTTCTGTGTAGAGTGCAGTAGAATCGGGAGAGACGAAAAAGATCAGTGTCAGGCTTGCACTTAAGTAGAGAAAATATTAATATTATTCATTTCTTGGAATCTGGTTAGGGGCTCAAACTCAATTTTTGGAATTTATAAGAGGTGAAGTTGGAATATTTATCAATTTTGTATTTTTGAAGAAATCACACAGAACCATGAGGTATAAAGCAGTTAGGATTATTTAATAAATATTGAACAACAGATCACAATTAATACAAGACATAATGTTCTGAGGTTTATTAACTAATCCAGACTCTGCTGAAAATTACACTGGAGCCAGTTTATGATTATCAGTCGGGTTCACAGTGTGATACATTTGCATTTGCTAAAAATTAATAGAATTTTATATTAATATACGGAACCCAGTTTCAAGTTGGCAAAAGGAATTCATGCTATTTCGATTTTCAAAGAGATCACGGAGACTGCCAGATTCTGCTGCATTCCCATGATAACACCCTGACCAATCAAGAATTTTCCTCCCTGACCTGAAAATTAAGATCAACAGTTACCTTCTGCTGCTGCATCTCTGTGCCAACAGAGACCCAACTAATGGCACCCTTTTGTGACCCTTTTGGGTTTTTCTTCTTTGGAGTCTGCTTCTTATGTCGTAGTCTGGTTGAGTGCAGGACTTCTTGTCTCTTTTACTACTGTTTACAAACCATAGTGCTAATTTAGTAGTGCTTGCCTTGTTTGATTATTTTTACATGCAAAATTATTTGCTTCTTTTTAAAAAAATAATGTGGAATCTTGTGTCAGTTAATGTCAGTTATAATTGTGTCTGTTAATCACAAAGACTTTAAACTTTAACGATCTCTAACAGGATACCACCATATACAGTGTATATAAAGAAACCTAGACTACTTTTACTATAATCACAAAATAAAAGCGTTGGGCATTATTAAGGATGTGGTGATACCTATTGAGTCATGCTTCCTCTCTATAAGAAACACAATTAAATTATAACAAAAGTTTGAGAAGTAAAAGGAAGGTTAGAGATAAAATTCACAATGTCAGGTCAAAATTGGTACTGAGCTATGAGCTGTTCAGTAGAAAGGAGTCTAATAAACTTGTATGATGGTAGGGGTGGGTTGAATAAGAATATGTAGCATTACATGACTAATACTGTAAGGAGGGATTATCATTAAATATTCATCATTCTTGTATGCATTTTAATGAGACAGTAATGTACGAAAAAATATTTGAGAATGCAACCTGTAACATTTATTTACATTGTTATTTGTATTTTCAGGATGGCACTTTGATACCAATAACAGTTTTTCATAAAACAACGTTGAATAAAATGAACAAAAAACCTTTGTTAGCCCATGTCTATGGAGCTTACGGCATCGATTTGAATGTTAACTTTAAACCAGAGCAAATGGTGCTATTGGAAGATGGCTGGATTTTAGCATATTGTCATGTTAGGTACTGTCTCCCTGCTTCATTTTATCAAGATGTTGCCTATCAATGTGTCAAATTATGTTTCTGGTTAAGGTTGTTGTTTAATTTTACAATTTCTTGTTTGAGGCTTTGGAAAGTAAATTGTTTTGAGTTTCATGTAACATATAGATTTGGTTTTATTTGTAGAGATTTATTCTGAAACTGTTACTTTCATTCCTCAGAAAATGAAATATTTCTAATTTTGTAATCAGCAATCCTATAAAAGAGGATTTCCTCCCTGGTCTGAGGCTAAATCTGGGGAATATTTTTGTAAAGATAATAATGCTGCTTTGCAGAAGACTGAGTTTAACCTTTTAATTACCTTCTCTTTTCATATCAACTTATTTTTGATTTTTCTCTTTCCCTATGCTAAGAAAAGTAAATGATACAATTTTACAGATATTTCCAGTAACAGGTAGGCAATGGCCAAGTGGTATTATCGCTAGACGATTAATCCAGAAACCCAGCTGATGTTCTGGGGACCCTGGCTCAAATCCCACTAAAGCAGATGGTGGAATTTGAATTCAAAAAAAAAGTCTGCAATTAAGAGTCCACTGATCACCATGAAATCACTGCCAGTTGTTGGAAAAACCCGTCTGGTTCACTAATGCCCTTCCAGGGAGGAAATCTGCCACCTTCACCTGGTCTGGCCTACATGTGACTCCAGACCCACAGCAATGTGGTTGACTCTCAACTGCTCTGAAATGGCCTCGCAAGCCACTCGGTTGTACCAATCGCTACAAGGTCTCCAAGAAATGAAACTGGACGGATCACCTGGCATCGACCGAGGCATCGGAAAAGACAATGGCAGAAACAGCCCTGTCGACCCTGCAAAGGCCTCCTCACTAATATCTGGGAGGTAGCGCCAAAATTGGGAGAGCTGTCTCACAGGCTAGTTAACAACAGCCTGACATAGTCATACTCACAGAATCATACCTTACATACAATATCCCAGACACCATCATCATCACCATCCCTGGATATGTCCTGTTTCACCAGCAGGGACAGACCCAGCAGAGGGGGTGGCACAGTGGTATACAGTCGGGAAGATGTTGCTCTCGGAGTCTTCAACATTGACTCCAGACCCCATGAAGTCTCTCGGCAAAGAAACCTCCTGCTGATTACCACATACCATCCTCCCTCAGCTGATGAATCAGTAGTCCTCAGTGTTGAACTTAGAGGAAGCACCGAGGATGGCAAGGGCACAAAATGTACTCTGGGTAGGGGATTTCAATGTCCACTACCAAGAGTGGCTCAGCAGCAGTACTACTGATGGAGCTGGTCGGGTCCGAAAGGACATAGCTGCGAGACTGGGTCTGCAGCAGGTGGTGAGGGAAAAACGTACTTGACCTCCTTCTTACTAATCTGCCAGCTGCAGTTGCATCTGTCCATGACAGCGACCAATGCACAGTCCTTGTGGAGACAAAGTCCTGCCTTCACATTGAGAACAACCTCCATCTTGTTGTGTGGCACTATCACCATTCTAAATGGGACAGACTTCACACAGATCTAGCAACTCAAGACTGGGCATCCATGAGGCGCTGTGGGCCATCAACAGCAGCAGAATTGTACTGCAGCACAATTTGTAACCTCTTGGCCCAGCATATCCCCCACTCAACCATTACCATCAAGCCAAGAGATCAACCCTGGTTCAATGGAGAGTGCAGGAGAGTATGCCAGGAGCAGCACCAGGCATACCTGAAGATGAGGCACCAACCTGGTGAAGCCACCAAACAGAACTACTTCCATATCAAACAGCGAAAGCAGCAAGTGATGGAGCTAAGCGATCCCACAACCAACAGATCAGATCTAAGCTCTGCAGTCCTGCCACATCCAGTCGTGAATGGTGGTGGACAGTTAAACAACTCACTGGAGGAGGAGGCTCCACAAATATCCCCATCCTCGATGATGGAAGAGCCCAGCACATCAGTGCAAAAGATAAGACTGAAGCATTCTCAGCAATCTTCAGCCAGAAGTGCCGAGTGGATGATCCATCTCGGCCTCCTCCAGTGGTCCCCAGCATTACAGATAACAGTCTTCAGCCAATTTGATTCACTCCACATGATATCAAGAAACGTTTGGAGACACTACAAAGGTTACGGCCCTGACAACATTCTGGCAATAGTACAGAAGACTTGTACTCCAGAACTTGCCACTCCCCTAGCCAAGCTGTTCCAAGACATGTACAACACTGGTATCTACCGGATAATGTGGCAAATTGCCCAAGTATGTCCTGTACACAAAAAGCAGGACAAATCCAACCCAGCTAATTACTGCCCCATCCGTCTACTTTCGATCATCAGTAAAGTGATGGAAGGTGTCATCAGCAGTGCTATCAAGCAACTCCTGCTCAGAAATAACGTGCTCAGTGATGCCCAATTTGGGTTCCACCAGGCCACTCAGTTCCTGATCTTATTACAGCCTTGGTTCAAACATGGACAAAAGAGCTGAATTCCAGAGGTGAGGCGAGAGTGACAGCCCTTGCTCTCAAGGCTGCGTTCGACCAAGTGTGGCAACAAGGAGCCCTAGCAAAACTGGAATCAATAGATATCAGGGGGCAAACTCTCTGGTGGTTGGAGTCATACCTGACACATAGGAAGATGGTCGAGGTTGTTGGCAGTCAATCATCTCAGCCCCAGGACATCTCTACAGGAGCTCCTCGTGGCACGTCCTAGGCCCAACAATCATCAGCTGCTTCATCAATGACCTTCCCTCCATCATAAGGTCAGAAGTGGGGATGTTTGCCGATGATTACACAAAGTTCAGCACCATTCGTGACTCCTCAGATACTGAAGCTGCCCATGTTCACGTGCAACAAGACCTGGACAATATCTAGGCTTGGGCACATAAGTGGCAAGTGACATTCGTGCCACACAATGCCAGGTTATGACCATCACCAGTAAGACACAATCTAACCACCACCCCTTGACATTTCAATGGTGTTACCATCACTGAATCCCCCACTATCAACATCCTGGGGGTTACCATTGACCAGAAACTTAACTGGACTCACCACATTAACACAGTGGCTACAAGAGCAGGCCAGAAACTAGTACTGCGGCGAGTAACTCACCTCCTGACTCTTCAAAGTCTATCCACCATCCACAAGGCACAAGTCAGGATTGTGATGGAATACTCCCCACTTGCCTGGATGAGTACAGCCCGAACAACACTCAAGAAGCTTGACACCATCTAGGACAAAGAAGCCCACTTGAATGGCACTACATCTGCAAGCATTCACTCCCTCCACCACCGATGCTCGGTAGCAGCAGTGTGTACTATCTACAAATTGCACTGCAGAAATTCACTAAAGATCCTCAGACAGCACCTTCCAAACCCACGACCACTTCCATCTGGAAGGAAAAGGGTATCAGACATATGTGAACACCAACACTTCCAAGTTTCCCTCCAAGTCACTCGCCATCCTGACTTGGAAATATATTGCTGTTCCTTCACTGTCGCTGGGTCAAAATCCTGGAATTCCCTCCCTAATAGCATTATGGGTCAACTCACAGCAGGAGGACTGCAGCGCTTCAAGAAGGCAGCTCCCCACCACCTTCCCGAGCAACTAGGGATGGGCAAGAAATGCTGGCCAGCCAGCGACACGCACATCCCACAAATGAATAGAAAAAAATATTGTAAAGGTGAATATTAGAGAAACAATTAAAGTAACAATTACAATCAGTGAGGGTAGCATTGTTGGAGTGATATTTTAAAGAGGAGTCTTGAGTCCCATGTTCAGCAGCACAAATCAATGTTTATGGAATGAACTGCCAGAGGAAGTGATACATGTGGGTAAAATTACAACATTTAAAAGAGATTTAGACAGGTACGTGAATAGGAATGGTTTAGAGGGATATGGGCCAAAAGCAGGTAAGTGGGACTAGTTTAGTTTGGGGAAACCTGGTCAGCATGGATGAGTTGGACTGAAAGGTCTGTTTCTGTGATGTATGCCTCTTTATTCAGAGCTGCTTACCAACGCAGCATGGGAGAGGTTTCTGGAGCAGACTCTCTAACTCTCTCAGTAAAGTACAGAGTATTTAAACATTACAATGATTATATGCAACATTGATGTCAGTGCTTGCCCCATCCCCTCTGACCGTTAAGTTCCTCCCCAGATATTTGCCAGCAGCACTCTGTGGGTATTGTTTGTTACCTTGTGAAATTACAATTATTTAGTTTCCCTAGGTCATAATGACTAACTAATGTTTTGCAATTGCCCCTTTTACAATGCCATGTGTTTTTCTGTGTTCATTCATGAGGTTATCTGTTTATACGAAATAACAAGGTGTAGAGCTGGATGAACACAGCAGGCCAAGCAGCATCAGAGGAGCAGGAAAGCTGACGTTTCGCGCCTAGACCCTTCTTCAGAAATTCTTAATTCTTCATAACTTACAATAAGGAGTACTGGGAGAGAATGTAGGAACAGAAGTGGACCATTCGGCCCATCAAGCCAGCTCTGCCATTTAGTCTGATCATGGGTGATCAAAGATTTCAATGCCTTTTATGCACATATCCCATTAACCCTTTACACCTTGCAATTGATAAGGGATAGCCCAGTGAGGCACAAAAGGCTATTTATGGTGTTTCTGACCCCACAATATGAATGGATAAAATGTTTTAAAACTTAACTGTTCAGGTCTTTTCTTTCCCTAACTATTCTTCTTGCTTGCTTCACCTGACAAGAAGAATACTATGTAGACTGGTTAAATTAATAGTTGAGTGACAACATTAAATTGTCAGGCTGTATTGTTTGAAGTAGCAGTTCTGTTATTTCCATTGAATGACTTTCTCACCCTGCACAGAAGACTGGTATGATATGGAAAACTGCAGAAAGGGAACTGGGGATTTTAAATTGCACTGGGAAGGCAGAGGTTAAAATAATCCAAACATTCCTCCCTCAGTTCAGATTTTAAAAAGGCAAAGGTGTTCCTGAATGATTCACCTGATATCCATCCATCCATCCATCCATCCATCCATCCATCCATCCATCCATC